CTTATGGATTTCGCAGGAAGTATGGTACTTCCGAATTTTATGCAATTTTATTTTTCAAAATTTTAAGACATCGCCTGTCCAGATTAACATGGAAATATTCATTTTGGAAAAATCCCTGCAAATATTTTAGGCCGTAGTGTTGTTCACTTCCGTTCAGACGGACAGACGTTTTGAAAAAACAACACATTTTTCCGAATCGGGTGGCCCCAGAAGAGTATTTCCGTAAAAATCTGGAAATCAATTTTCCGAAGTATTGCATTACTTTCTCCATACAATATATATTATTCTTCATATATGCTTTGTTTCTTAATTGTCTCTTATTTTGTGCATAGAAAGGTAATGAAGAATATTCAGATATCTTTATCAACCTATTTTTAATCGGAATATTAAAAGAATAACATTTTTGGTAGGAGTCCTCCCGTCAATTAAAAATGTTGTTCAAAGATGTATTATATAAGTCAAATACTTATATTTAAATGGTGTATGATCTTATATATGTACCGATATTTTCATTATATTATTAAATTATGTATATTTTCTTTGACAGCAGTTCTGACATATAAACGCTGCTGCAGCCTCTTAGGACATTTTTGAAATTCGATTTTTTGTTTCTGTTCATCGTTTCTTATTTGGGCGTTAATAAGCTATCAATAAACTGTTGTGATCGTACCAAGCCGCAATGTTGGTCAAGTGACGATGCCCAGGTGGAAATGGGTCTACTGCATGTTAATGACTTCTAGTGTTTGTATCATGCATATCGTTGAAGAATTATCCGTTTTTCGACTAGAGCAAGATCCCTGTCAATCAACAAGCCACAGCCAGTGAACCTAACTTTTAACTACTTCTCTACGGCTCACTAGCCACTGCATTGTACTCGTCGCAACTGGCGACCTTCACACACAATCGATGCCAACATATGAAGCAGCAGGGCGGTTAAAGCATAGAGTTATTCCCCTTTTACAGTAAGCGACTGAATTGTATGAAACAGGAAAAGGTTCCTCCGCTCTATCTATTGTACTTTCTCGCCATAACACGTACTTACGTTGTATTATTTTCTCGGCATTCCACGTATTTATGTGAAATTATTGTAATGCTGCAGCGAAAAGTAACGATTTTTTTAGAAAACCTTATATTATGGATCTCAAATATCGAAAAAGTGTATAAACCCTATTCTTCTACGTAGTAAATTACTTCTTCAATAACGTTATGTAGTTAGAATTCATGTTTTGTGAGTCCTTGATGAAGAAAAAATGGTTTATGGCAAATCTATTCCTCAATAGCGGACCCTTTAAGAAGGTCGTATATAATTTTTCAAAAATATGAGGGATGACGTTAGAATTAGAAGTTCTGAATGATGTTCTAATCGCAGCGTGACGGGGATATTCCTCATGTATCCAGAACCTCTGGTGTATTGTGTTTGCTGCTAATTTCTGAACTCGCCCAGTAGTCAAGAAAGTTCGCATTTCACGTGCTTGTGGTAACTGATAATTTTTCACAGGTTCTCCTTTTTGTTGTGCAAGTTGGTATTCGTTAGTTTAATTACCGGGACCGTTTACACGAATTGACTTCTCCAGTAAGAAATATCCAGTTGCACACTCCTGACGCATTCATTTATTTACGTAAATTAGTGTGCATTTACTAACTAGTGTGCGAAACCCTAAGTTGCCCGAGTATTTACTACAATCGTTTATTAGACAGGAAAAGAAAAGAATTCCATCTAGAGTACAATGGAGTTGGTTTTTTATTCACACCCCCACAACTTCCCCGCCACGCCCCTGCTGCTTCCATACCTGCACCGTTGCAACGCAATCCCATAATACATAAATACTCTGCGGGTTGAATTAAATCAATTTTTTTTTGTTATTTAAGGTCGCATAAACTTCTATGTCATTAGCGACTACTATTGCTTGTAACGGTATGGTAACTGTGAGGATGACACGATATGATGATGATGATGATGATGATGATGATAGGGAGTGAATGGACGATCACAATACAACCATGCCCAAGGCGGAACTCGAACCAACGATCCTTCGGTCCGAGATCGCTACGGAGCTACTGCCTTAGCGATCTCGGCCACCGAATCGGCTCAAATTGTATTGTAAACGTATTTGGCGGTCCCAATTTCCCGCTTTCTTTGTTTTCGAAAGTATTCGCCCCACATTGGGGAGCAATCACTTCAGTGATTGCACTTCAGTGTTTCTGATAGATTTGCATACTTAGGTCTATTCATATTTTTACTTGTATATAATAGATTACAGCTTTATGGGCAGACCTTTAACAGCAAGGTAATTCAACAAATGAAAATATATTTTACAAAATATGTATATTACCGAGTTGATGTTCTTAAAACGTAAACTATTCTCAACTATATTTTAACACTTTCTTGTTGTTTTTGTTTGCAACAAAAGTTTCATGCAAATAAAGCACATGAAAATTAAAGCTTTCAGTTACTGAAAATTTAACTAAAACCTTAAATTTCCTAAAATTGATTATCTATGACACTATACATACGTCATCGTTGCTCACGAGAAGTGATCTCAAAAATCGTCATGCTAAATTAAAGTGAAGAAATAGTTATTTTACTAGAGAAAAGGTCATTAAGATACTTCACTCTACAGACAGTCTGTCTATAGAGTGAAATCTATGTCATTGACTGTGGAATGAACTGCCCCGTTCAAGATAAACAGTTCTGTAAAACGACAATTTTTTAAACTTAACTTTTTACAAACAGATACCAAATCTGCTAAGTGAGCTACGGGACAGAACGGTGCTTTTTAAAACGAGGGAAATGTTTTAATTTTAATTTATAATTGTTACTAATTATTATTTATACTTAGTAATATTTTTTTAATTTTTAAAATTTTTTTGATAAGTTTCTAAATATTTATTGACAACTCTATACAGGCTTATCGACAAAGCTATTAATTTGGAAAAACTAACTTACATGTTGTTTCAACCAAATAAAATGAAGTTATATGAATTTTTTATCTCAAGGAAGAATTTTTCTTAGAGATATTGAAGTTTTATATCGTTTTCTACCCGCCATTTCAAATATTCATGTTATTTCATTTGAGAATTTTGTAACTTCATATATAACATGCGTATTTAGATCATACTTGCGCTGCGCAGTAACCATAAGTTTGCTGGTAGTAAAAAAATTCTCATTGAATTTTATTTTTATTATACAATATCTTTATAAAAAAATTTAAGTATTATCCAATATCATGTGGCCACCTCAGTTTAATAAATCAAACAAATATGTGAAAAAATGTGGTTTATCAAATGGTCCCCTTTGGTCACAATGTTAACATACATTTTTTCTGTATCTGAATTAGATATTATAAAAATATAATTTTATTACAAAAGTATAATTTTAAAATACTTTCAACTTCCCATTCTGTCTACAAGCATAAAATTGAAAATATTTAAATTAAAGAAATATCAGTTTATTTCAATTGTATAAATAACAGGTTATATGGCACGCGCAAAATGAATATGGCTCAGGCATCAGAAAATAAATACGTGCCTGTCTGGCGCAGTAATAAATGTTGTGATAAATATTGCATTTGTTCCAATAATATCTCTCTCAAGATCAATGTGCTGCAATATATTATGGTCCATAAGGAAAATGTAATCTCGGTATTTTCGTCTATACGTAACCTACGTGTTACACTCCAGTGGGGACAGTGCTGCTGTGACAGCCAAGTCCAAGGTTTGCTTTGTCAGGTACTTGATAGATTACATGAACAGAAATGGATATAAGAAGTAGAGCAGAAATCTTTAATTTGGTTATTGAAACATATTTTACTGCGATTTAGTGTAAGAATTTAATGCTCATGAAAACGACAAACGTCTTTGAAGAATGTACACTGTTCATGCAAAGCGACGGAAAAGAAATTAATTAACTTCTCTGACTATATGACTACGTATATTTCCTTACCTCACACAATGCTCAATTATGTCTTTGAAGAATCAAACGAACAATTTATAATCCCATGCCAAAGGACACCACTCGTTTAGAAAACAAATGCGTCGTAGAGAATTCTTCATTTGTCATTTACAACTTCATGACAACTTAATGTTATGTTTAGTGCCATGCAATTTTCTTTAGTTTGTAATGCAATGGAAACGACAGAATGGTTTCACAATAGAATGGGAGCGAATCGATTTTGGAAGACATGTTGAAAATATGACGTAAACGTCAAGATAAGAAAAATTCAAAAATGGACATGAAATGTTTTTCTTCATTGATTGGCACACATTTATACACAAAAGCATCAGCTCAATACGACACGTAGCATTCACTTCATTAAGGGTGCATACCAGTCCAACATGGAAAGAATTCGTGCAGAATAAGATTCAATTACGAAATTTTACTAAAAATTTTAATAAAAATTAAGAAGTATTGAGAAAATAATTAAAAATTTATTATAACAGCGATCATGTCAACAAGCGTATTGAGAAAAGTTTTCATAGAATGAGAAACACATTTGTCAAAGGACATAAGATTCAAAATAATATTCATTTTTTATTTTAAAATATGATATTTAAACTGCGGGGGCTTGACAAATTTACTGCCTATTTGAAACAGTTATTTACGATACGAGTGGTTGAATAGACATTTTATTTTGTGAGTAGGAAAGGTGGCGAGGCGAGGCAGATAGAACGCGTGGCGCAATCTTACGAGCAAACTGAAATCACTTTTACCATGTGTGTCATACATTATTTTTAATTATCCTTAATGACTTAATTTTATTTTTATTGAAGTACACAAATTACTTCATGATACATTAACGTTACGTGATGGAACTGTAGTAGCAGACTCAGTCAGTATTTTGTTTTCTTTCTTGCATTCACAGATTTATCTGAATACTGGAGCTTCATCTCACTTGTGGTAAAAATTGAACTTTCAGCTCGTTGGACATCCTCTGAAATAACCGCTTTTACTAATGAGTTTAAAAACGAGATTAAATGTATTTATACTATAAACAATCTCCTTAAGGATGTTTTAAATGCCTCTTGAGCGGGTACGATTCAAGATCGCAATAGTACTGATTTGGTCTCTGAGAACGTGCACAACAAAAATGTAGAGGTTAGAAAGTTTACGCAACATCCAGGACGAATTAGTTGTTGCGGGGCCCCCAACCACTAAATTGTGGTTGGGACCCTTCGAAAAATAAATGTCTCCGGATAAAAACACTAGTTAGAATATAACTTTTTCTACAAATACAAATGAAAATTAACGAAATGCTTACAAAGCATAACATATTGATTTTTATTTAACGTCTTTTAATTTCTTGTCTACTAATACAAATATTTGATAACTTTTTATTGAATATTTTATGCACTTTTCAGAGTGCCTGGCCCCAAAGATTAGATATATAAAGTATTCGCTTATATTCCTTGTTTAAAAATCGTACTCTGAGCAACAAGGAGATCCAGATTTGAAGATTTAAACATCGATTTTCTGATCAGCTGATGAGTCTGGAGTGGAATGGGGTGTTCTCATATTCTTGAGAAAAAAAAGTAATGAACCACTTTCCTGAGGTTGCCATCTGTCTCAGAAATCAAAAACACCATTAAGGATTGGCATGAAGCGGTAAGTCACTGGAGCAAATCGATATTGACTCGATCTTATCACGAGTTGAAGGCCTGAAATTACACCATTCTCCATTACCCAGTTTTGTTGTACTATTGTGACTTTGTTTATTGTGATGGTACTAATGAGAATCAATTGTATTAACATTAATACGATATTACTTAATCTACTGCTCATCTTTAACTTTTCCATTACAAAAGAAACATACAAACATCTCGTTCAGTTTATTCTTATAATTTCAGTGGTGGCTCGTGCAGAATTCTTAAGAGGAGCATAGAAATCATGCCAGTACTATTACATTAAATGAAACATACAACAAATTATATTACACACAGATGTAAACGAAATTCGTTACCTTTGCAGTATCGTCACTTATGGAAGAGCTGTACTACTAGCTTGCTAAAGACTAAATCAATGCGATATTTGATTTTATTCGTTTTTACTTTCTGTATGCAAGCCCTCTTCACTGACTGGATATCAAAACTCCTCTTCACTCACTGAATATCAAAATGATTTGTTTAGTTATTGTACTGTTCGTCGCTTTGGAATTGGGAACGGAAGAGAGTCGTATCGGTTCGTTTCGCCCTGTCACCCGAGATTCCGCCAGCCCACAGTGCTGCCACAAGTGTGAGATGTTACTGTGTGTATCTTCTAAGTCCTGGCCCATGATTCATGCGCACATGGGCGCCCAGCACGCGCCGGCCGCCGATGTTCATTTAATTCCAATAGCTGGTAATAAATGACACTCCATAGGAGGATCTCCTCCCCTCATGACGTATAGCTGCATTAAATAAACGTTTCTTCTTCTTCCCATCGACGCGCTGTGTGATATGGATCATTACTATACATTATTATGCACAGGAGGAGGAAACGGTGAGAATTCCTCCTCTAAGCGATTTCGAACCTAAAATGTGCGCGCAGTTTAAAAACTCGATCAAAGACAATTGAATTGAATTGTTGCCTATTTTAAGTGGCGAGACTCGGGCCATGAGACCTGCCCTTCCATCTGACCTCGCCAATTTCGCCACGCTCCTTTCACCAACTAGCGGAGAAAGGAGGTATTTCTTGGGCGACGAGACAGGCGATTTAAATTTAGCTCAGAGGTTTCATTTAGGCTTGAGAATCTTTTACATACAGTAAATCTACTAACATGGGACAGACGGCTTTACTTCCTCTCTGAAGGAAGGCGTACGAAGTATTTTTTCGACCTAAAAATCCCCTGCTTCGATCGGATTTGATCCCGCGTTCTTGGATATAACAGTCCGATAAGTTAACCGGATGTTAGTCCGTTACGTTACACCATCGCCACCGCAATTTACGGTAACTATGAACTAAAAAAATTGTTTTCATTCTTGCATAAAAAATATTGATTTGGAAATTACATTCAAAAGAAGGAAATGGGGGGGGGTCCTCCCTCCCATCCCCTGAGAAACCCCCACTGTATAATTTAAACCTTTAAGAAGACAATAGGGACGTTTCCATGAATTCCTGACTTTTATTTTACATAAATCACAATAGAATCCAACTGAAAACTGTCCTCTAACTCTAAGCACACAAACAAAACATCTTGTATTTCTGCAAAACGTGAAAATGGAAGAAATGAGATTCCTTAGTAGACCATGCACAGTAACAAGATATCTTCAGAGAAATCCATATTGAATCTGTGGACAAAAATAGTTTTCAATATATATGACAATGACATATATGCAATGACATATATTACATTGATATGATTATCATGAATTCATAAATAATAATTATTATATTAATGTTTGATTTAATAAGTAAAATATAGTGAAATATTTTGTGGGCGTGGTTTTGGAGTGCCAGCCAGAGCGATTGTTTATTACATTCACACTGTTGTCCCCTCCGACTCTTTTTTTCGCTCAGTTGAGTACTTTCATACCTTATGTAAATATAAAATTATGTCCATGTCAGACATATATTTACATAAGATAACAGATATTTACATGAATAATCCCTGAAAATGACGAACAAATCTATTGTCGAAACGTTGGTTGTGAATGAAGGTGGTTTTTAACGAATGAATCTGTTTTTATGTATTCCATGAAAATAAACTGTCTAAAATTAAATTGAGACTATTTCTAAAATATGTACTTCATATCTGTTTGGAAGAAAGAGGAGATTCAGAGAGTACTAGGGACAGAGAAATAGAAAATAATATACAAGGAAGTGCAATAGGAAGTCACCACTACCCTTCATTCACCACTCGTCATCTCATTATCATGATCAACAGGAGTGGATCCAAAGATGCAATTTTGCTCATGAAAGGTCATCAGAAATGATAAATATCTATCTCGTTTGCTCAGAGGACTGAAGAATAAGACGTGTTTCCACTTTTTGTCATGCGATACTGGTGGTCGGCTTCTCAAACTGTCACGTCTCGCATCTGTAACGTCGTCCCATGCATAATCACACGTATTTTTTGAATTTATTTTCAAAGTTTCGTTGTTTCCCATGTGGACATCTTGTACGTATATATATATATATATATATATATATATATATATATATATATATATATATATATATATATATATATATATAAGTGTCAAACATTCATAGCCTTAAGGGCCACAACAAATATCTTTTAATATCCAGACTGTTGATTTAGGCAGTTAGCCCTGTCGCTCTGAAACGGAGGGGGGGATGAAACCATACGTTATATCAGGCCGCACCATGCATAACGCAGAGGGATGATTTGCATGCATTGGGATTGCATTGGGACAATGCATTGGCATGATTTCCTAAATTTAATGAAAAAAGTGGTTAAATCTAAATTCAACCCATTTTTACATTAAACGAATGTTGACCCCCCCAATGCGCGTGCGCCTGGCGCGGCAAAAAGTCTGTGAAAGCCGGGGCTCGCGTATGTAACCGGCGGTTCAGCACCAGAGAAGCCAGAAGCGCTTGTGCCAGAGCGGCAGCGTTGAGAATGTGTGTGTTGTGACAGTTACGTCGCCGAGCCTAAATACTGTGATTGTTCCCGGATACATTGTGAATCGGCTTAGATAGATACTTCTTCTGGTGTCACTAAACTCGGCGACGACTCAGGTAACGTTTCGGCCATCGTGTTGTGGCCTTCTTCAGAACTCCACTCTGAAGATGACCACAACACGATGGCCGAAACGTCAGCTGAATCGACAGAGACGCCGCTCACCCCGGACAGCCAAGTATCCGAAGACTCCGGCAGCGGAAACCGACGAACACATCTCGGGTATTTTCTTTTTTGCAAATGGAACTTCGGCAACTCTTGGTATTTTCTAATGAAAAGATTGTCATGTAAACTGTACAATTGAATGAATTGTTATATGATAAAATTCTCAGCCTCCACCTTTTTTCATACATTTTATATATGCCTCGCGGTTAGCTGTCGTCGTGCTAGCTTTCCACTACACGGCCCCGGGTTCCATTCCCGGTCTGCAAGACTATAATGTGCGTTTTCCTTGCAATGTCCCAGAATATGTTACTGTGTGACGATGAGAAAGTTCACTTCTCAGGTTGAGAAGACGGGAATACGTGCTAACCACAAGTCCGCCCGTAACCCATGGTCGCGAGGCAGGGACGTCGCCGGTAAGCCTGAGCGCGTTCCCGGGCTGTCGCGCCAAGTACCTATGTGTGCGTGTGTGTGTGTGTAAAATGGGGCGGAGGACCTGCGCCTGCGGCGACATGCCGACGAGGTGCTCTGCGCGGCGGCTCATCTCGTAGACGCTGCGCGCCAGCGGGCGCAGCGAGTTGCGCGCCTCCTCCACCTCGGCCGCCGCCTTGGCCGCGCCCTCCTCCGCCTCCTCCATGGCGGCGTCGGGCGCCTTGAGCAGCTGGCGCAGCTTCTCCAGCAGCTGCTCGTCCTCCGGCTCCTCGGGCTGCTCTGGCAGCTTCTCGCCCCGCTCCGTCTTCCTCCACATGCGCTGCGCGCCACGCGCCCGCCACGCGCCCGTCACGCCTCGCTCCGCGTCGCGGCATTACTCGCGCAACGTGGGGGCCCTCCCTCTACCCCACACCAGACACCCAGGAAGAAAAGAGAGAATCTTTTAAATAAGTTTATTGCCTTACCGCGTAGTGTCCTAGGAGCGGGTGGCGTGATGACGGATGGCTTCGGCAGGTTGACGCGTAACAAGAGGGGCGAGGTGCGAAGCCCTCCCCATTTTATAGCCTCGGAACGCCGGCGTCGGCAAATGACAACTGGTCACTTGCCGACAGCAGCGTGTCGCGAGGGCCGGAATGCCATATTGCGACACTTCAACGATGACCTCGCTTCTCCCTCCCTGGCACGATAAACGGATGAAGGCAAAAGCTCTCAGCGAGCACTCATGACAACATTCCAAACACGTCTTCACTGGCGCGAAATAGACACAATTTTCTTTTGAAGACGAGATATCTATCGGTTTTCTTCTCCAAAAATCTAAAGAAATGTTCGAAGCAGGTACGGATCGATCACAGGAGATACCTGGAACTCATAAAGTTAGAACGCAAATTATTGAGAATGTTACAAAGGCAAGACTGATTCTCCAGAGATTGGCATTGCTTCATAAAATCTAGTGGCCGATTTCGTAACTAATACCCCCACTCTACCCACATTTCTTCAATCCATTGTTCAAGAAAAGTTAAGCGAGTAATATCTGGGCTATCTGGGACGAGCCGCGTCACTGACATGGTGGCTAATTGTGGCCTTCCTCAATGCGTACTGCTGTACGCTGGCCGAAACGGTAGCCACCACGTCAGTGACGCGGCTCGTCCCGGATAGCCTAGATAACACAGTATTCAGGGCTCACAGATTTTATTAAGGGAAAATTCTATGTTTAATATTTTAGTTGTAGGAGGTCTCAAAAAATGTTTGAACTTTTGCAAATTTTCAAACAATCAGGGTTGTAAATGAGCATGAGATCTGCACCATTCTCTTCAACGTCCTTCAGACTATCCATCAACAAAATTTAATCAAAAAGGATATGTCATTTTTTTATCTAAATGTCCCAAGGGTTTCGTCAAAAGTTTTGCAAAGCAGTGAGTTACAAAGCATGGTTTTAAATGTTTAAATTCCTTTAAATGTTTATAGGTGATGTTTAAATCCGCATCAATATTGCTTTGTGCTCTTCTCTACTTCAGAAGATTAATGGGGAAAATCTGGAACCCCACAATATATTGTGGAATTAAATTCAAATCCACTACTAAATACGTTCCACCACTTAAAATTGAACGAGTTAAAATAATTTTCCATAAATTGAAAAAATATGGAACATATTGCTAATAAAATATATAAATATGCACTAATAGACGAACTTTCCTGAAATATACCTCATGAAATATACCTATGGACAAATACGTGGAATCATATATTTTTCAAAAAGCTTGAGTCTACTTCATAAAGATACCAAAGGTTTGTTTATAACAATTGAAGACACAAATGTCATTGCACAGAAATTTTGGTCCTTTTCGTATGCCATAACAGATGTAACTAATGCGAGGAAGTATTTATTATAGCATCATTAGTTGAATTTCGAATTGATATTGTTAAGGAGGTTGATATCAATGCTTAAGTGTCCAACCAGTTAGTGTTTCTCTCCACTGTTACCAGTTGATCTACGCAGGCCGACGTGTTCGTGTTCGATTTCTTTCACCGCTCTCTGTTTAGGGTCATTATGTTTTTTGTTTGTTTGTTTTTGACGCTGGTGTTCTGAAGAACTTCAATAACGAGACGGCTCATGCACTTAATGGGTGAAGGATCACCCAAAGATAAATACACCACATACAATGCGCTCTATTGCTTCCAAAGATTCTAAAAAATGGCATTTTTGTTACCTTACCGTTAAAGTGCATTCGTAGCGTATACTACATAATTTAAGTTGTATGTCAAATCGCCAAATCTAGCCATTCGTTCGTAATTATTCGTACCAATAATTCGTAAAAAAGTAAGCCTGGAAATCAATAAACTTTATTTGCTCCATCATATCCCACCTACACAACCTATCCATCCAACCTATTTATTTCTCTATCATATCCTACCTATCCTATGCAACCTATTGTATCTCTTGTAAATATACGATTTTGGACAAATTTCCTTACCTTAACATATGAACTACTGTTGAAAATTTGGTGATAGAGAAGGTCTGTCCAGTTCTCCTAATTCAAATTTATTTTTCACAGTAATTTTCATAATGCATGCTTGACAAAAAAAATCTGCTCGTTTCAACAGCACTATTTTTAAATTTGCAATGTTCGAAAATTCGGAGAGTTCAACGGAAATGGAGACCTACGTCCTTCTTTTAAGCGATCCTTGCTTTATCCGTTGAAAAAAAAAATAATTGAGAAAATGTTTTTTTCATAAATTGCATTAATTTGAACGACTTAAAATTGTACATGATCTTTTTTTCAAGAGATGATTTTTAGAACAGATTTTGGCGAAGACACAAATCTTTTTTTGTAGTTTTGAAATATTTAATTATTGCAAGTTATGATATTACAGAGAGCTCACCGGACATTATACCAGCGTCAATATTTTTACACTTTTGATACCAACGAATTAAAAAAAATTGCGAGCCATTTTTGAAAAAAGAATTGTTTTAACAAAAATTAAAAATGCCTTTATTTCTCTCACAATTTCGCGAAAACTACTCATATTTTCTAAAGCTAATACTTAACCTTATTCCAAGATCAGACTTCGATACACACTTCGTTTAAAAACAAATATCAAACACTAAATGGTATATTTTTCCCTAGTTCAATAAATTCTCTGGTGACATGAAATGTAAGCGATTGTTCGGACACGCGTACCACCTCACCCCCCCTCCGACTTCGCAATCTACCGGCCGCCAACGAGCTCCACCAGTGGGCAGGCTGAGTTTAGAGTCGGCTTTGCCGTTGTCATTGCAACCACTCTGAACCACTCTACCCGGGATGTCCTGAGGTTCGTGTTCCGACGGTGGCAGGATTTTCGACATTAACTACATAGATACGTGGAATTCAGCTACTGTCTGGGGACGAATTCTAGCGACCGGCTGCGTTGCTCGGTAGTTTTCCGTGATTTCTCCGATCACAACCAGGCGAATGCCGGAGCAGTACCTCAACAAGCGGGCCACGAACCGCATGTGATCTTTCCTTCCTCTGCCTTGGCCTAACCTCACCCCGTGCTTTCACGCACTCACACTGACATGCACTACACTCCCACGCTTATCGGCAGTCCTGTCGGGGGCATGGAACATGTCCTGGCTGTGGCGGTGCCCCACCGGTGGGAGATACCTGGGTGGGGGAAACCCAGCATACCGACATGTAGGTCGGAGCCGGATAGGAACACCGCCACCTCCTGGGTAAACAAATATTCACCACTCTAACAGGACTAATGACAGAGACGGTTGACTTGTCCGTCAACATGAATGGATTGGAATGGATTGGATTGGATTGGAATGGATTGGATTGGAATGGATTGGAATGGATTGGAATGGATTGGAATGGATTGGAATGGATTGGAATGGATTGGAATGGAATGGAGGCCGTATTTTACGTGTCGAGACTGGCGATGAGGCCTGCTCTTACGTCTGACTACGCAAATTTCCCTACGCTCTTTTCACCAGCTAGCAGAGAAAGGAGGTATTTCTTGGGCGAGAAACAAGCGATTTGAATTTAGCTGAGAGGCGTCATTTAAGCTTGAGGATCTTTTGCATTCAAGTAATATTACTAACATGGGACAGCCGGCTTTACTTCCCCTCAGAAGGAAGGCGTACGAAGGATTTCTTCGCCCTTAAAAAGTTCCGATACGCTAACCGTCACAGCATCGCCGCGCGCTGAGATGTACCTGCGCCCAGGTGTTGTCGACGGGGCCGTCGGAGTAGTAGATGAGCGGCAGCAGCTCCTCGAAGGAGAGCCAGCCGTCGTTGTCCACGTCGCTGTTGGCGAAGCGCGCGCGCCGCTCGTGGCGAGCGCTGCGGTCGCCCAGGTCCTCGCACAGCGCGCTGGCGCGGCTCTCCTCCATGCGGCCGCGGTCGCGGTTGAAGTACAGCACGAACAGGTTGTACAGGTACTGCGCGCACAGCACAAGCACGCGCGGCGGCGACGGTCATTGCGCAGCAGCTGCCGGCGCTTAGGGCCTCTGACAAGCAGGTTCTAGGGTTCGGGTACGGGATTGTCAACTCTTGCTTGTCAGTCAGCGAGGTCGCTGTCTGCAGCAAAATTCTAGGAATAGGCAGCTCTGAACGGTAGTTTTCCGTGGTTTCTCCGATCAACACCACGCGAATGCCGGAGTAGTACACTAACAAACGGGCCACGGACCGCGCGCTATCTTTCCTCCCTCTTTCTTGAGGGGCCGTCTCAAAGTTCTAGTTGCCCCACTGATACTTGACCTCCCTTCTTTTTTAACTTTACATGGAATATCTGCATTTTGTGTCCTGTTGAATTGAAAATAATTCTGACATAATTTTAAAGTATATTGATTCATTAAGGGGCCTTCGTGTGTTGAATATGTACATTTTTACTCGAATAAATGGTCTGAATAATAGATCATTTAGGTTTATTGTGATATAAAGCGTATTTATTCTCATTGTTTGGTGGTTAATGAAGGGGAGTGCGGGGGAGAAGTATTTCAATCGGAAGCTTTGATTTTTAATGAACAAAGTCTAATTAAAGATTATTAATGGTTTGAAATTGTAGAGTATATTGCCTCTACATCATGGAGAATAAAAATATAAAATGTCATCCTTTTTTATGTCAAATGTCGCCCTTTTTGACGTCAAATGTCCTCCATTTTCCGTCAACCTCGGAGTGACCCGCGCACCTGCAGGGTATGCACGGTCCAGCCGGGCCAGTCGCGCGTGTCGGTGAGGTCGTGGCGGTGCTGGTGGGCGTGCTCGGGCGAGCCCAGCGCCGAACTGTGCCGGCGGAAGCTCAGCTCGTAGCGCTCGCGGCGCAGCGCGCGCAGCCGCGCGTAGAACTGCTCCTCCACGCGCTCCAGCTCGTTCTTGTTGTAGCCCGGCGGCCGCAGCGGCCGCTGCTCGGCCGGCAGCAGCTGCCCCAGGCTGCGCATGCACGTCCAATCCACGCTTCCGTCTCGGGGTTGTTAGTTCGATTTATGCAACTCTGTCCCTCGCAGGCGCCCATCAGCTGTTGACGGTATCATCCAATCGGGAGCGTGAACGTCACCATAGTGACGCCACTGTGGTGGCAGGTATCAGCTATTGACGACATCATCCAATCGGGAATTGATGAAACTGTCAACAGCTGTTACCTGTCAGGGGCAGAGTTGCGAAAATCGCAGTATATAGTACGATTTATCGATACGTAATCGTAAAAATTGCCGATAATGGAGAAAATATGTGATATATCCTCACTCTCTTTAGATCAAACTTTACAAGGGAATGGCATAACCTTACAGTGGAATTTTTGGGATGCGACTAATCCCAGTGAGTAGAGAAACATATTCTTACCAATTTCAGATATCCTCAAATTCTGCTACACTGTTCATACCTACCAGGTAATCTGTCATTAACGTGTAATGCAGTCGCTTCAAATACCCGACCATTGTTTTTACCGTTTAAGATATGACAATTGGTATTTGAAACGTGACGTAGAACGCTC